GGTATTGCTGACACTTAGGGAATGAACTGAAATGGCGCTATTTTGGCGTACATTTCGTCGATGTGGGCTATGCTCACTCCTCTATGCCCAAAAGAAGTGAAATTCGAAGATAGTGGATAGCGCTAGTCCGTCCCTTTGCGCTGGCGCCATGCATTCGCACGCTTGATTTACAACTACAGTTACTTGCGAGGCGAAACCGAATTCAGGCCAGTATTTTGGCCCTCTGAGTATTCCTATACCAGCAAATCGAGCCCGGGTCATGCTGCTTGGAGAGGTTTCTGATCAGGTTGGAGTTTACAGCGCGCACAAGAGCAGATGCTAGTCATGAACCAATGACCACTTCGCTTCACTAAGTTTTGAAGAGAAGGGAGCCTTCCAACATGAGCATGTTCAACAGCTTCTTTGTTTCCCCATTTCCCAAAATCATGGTGTCTCTTCTCATGAAAATTTTTGCTGTGTTCGACTTTCCCAAGGAAAATGCTGATTTCAGGAAGAACCGATCGATGAAAGTGTAACTGAGTTCTATAGCGGCGAGTGGAAAAACGACTCGCGTAGCGGATTTGGCGTCTGTGAGCGATCGGACGGATTGCGATATCAGGGCGAATGGGCGAACAACACGAAAAACGGCTATGGCGCGACGACGTTGAGAGACGGAACGTGAGTGGGGTGGCCTCTGAGGTCTCGCGCTATGTGCCGATGGTAACCTCAGTTTGTGGTGATTTCAGTCGCGAAGAAGGCAAGTACAAGAACAATGTGCTGGTGGTGTCAAGCCGACGGAAAGGCATGTTGTTCGTGCGAAGCAGTAAACTGAAGGAACGAGTCGAAGCTGCCGTAGAGACGGCGAATCGAGCCGCCAGTATTGCACAGCAAAAGGTTTGTCTCACAGCTTTTTCTCTGCAGGAATAGGAGATCCTTCGCAGTTAGGTCAATGGGCTCGATATCCATTTTCAAGCTCCTCGTATAAATTTTTCACCGCTTGCAGAAAAATTCCGCTTCCCTTCAAAATGTAATGTGCTTCCTTTCCAAGTTGCAAAGCGATCTCCTCCGTTCCACTGTTTCTGTTACTATAGAAATGGTCAGCTCCGTACTTTGAATGAACTTACTGACAAGACTGGAGTTGCATAGTCCAGATAAGTCCAGAGAAAGCCTGCAAATCAGTTCAAACAAAGAGTTCACTAAGAAATCAGGCAATTTCAAATTTGTCGGTGTTTTATCAAAATGCAATTCTTATCGCATCACTATTTCCATAATGGAATTCTAAAACCTGCAGTAATATCTCCACAGCTATGCGTTTTTCTGGAAGACTTTCTACCCATCTTGCACCGTGCTTCAGAGATGTTGTACTATACTGGTAATCCGTCACTGCTTACCACCGCTCTTATGATATAATCCAAATCCCAGGTCTGCTTCCGTTCAGGGCAAGCAGTCCTTCTATCTCTCTGGGACCGATTAATTAGTACGACAATCGTCTGGAAGAATGAAATATATTTGCTTGCACAGTGAATGGTCCCAAAAACCAGGTAGAGACCAAATCGCATTCACTTCTTACTACGATTCTAAACGAAAGTTGAATGCACGGCGCAATCCCAAGAGGTTCTATATTCCTTTTTTTATTCGTAATAACTTCCATTTCTATATATTCCAAACCATCTCTTGGCTTTGTTCCATGTTTGTTATTTAATACACCCACTTGCCGTATTTTGGTTATTAAAAGAATGAATAAACCCCGCAAATATTAGACCACGCAAAAGGACTGCAATTATGTCACAACAAATTATAACGGACCGTACTTAAGGATATTGTGAGCAGCTATATTAAAAAAAGCCTATGTGAAGATTTATTAAGTATGTTGTGAGGTAATTTCGTTAACGCTTTGGGATTATATTATTCAATTTTTTAAACACCGCTATGACGCTAGCAGTGCGACTAGTTGTCGTTGCGCTCTATGATATAGATGATCGAGATCCTGTTCAGAACGTATCACTTGACTGACAATGTGCAACTGTCCCTTGCTACTTACTCCCCGCTCTACATTTTCCATTTGCCTAGATTTTACAAATCGTTTTTCTGTTTTATAGGCCTTTGAGTAGTCACTTGTGAGTTTTTTTGGCATCTCATCGGAATACTTCGTCGTAGCTATACAATACTACAGGCATTGTGGCGCGCAACTGCATCTGAAACGGGAAACAGCGTTAAGAGGTCCCTTTTTGAATGACTCAACCTTAGCAGATAGCCGCTCCAGGGTAACGTGAGCCATTTTCATGTCTGCCGGATTCCTACCCTTCCTAGCTTAGTCCTGCGAGATGGCTCTGTCCTGCGACTAGCGCCCACTTATCATCTTGTCTAGCCAGATCAGTGAAAATATTACGTGCGCACCTCTCTCAGCTGGCGTTTTCCCTTGATAAGTGAGCTCCTTGGTTTTTTGCAATTTGGGTTTTATTTTTCGCCTCGAATACGTGATGCTTCAACCTCTTCCCTTCTTTGGAAATAGCGAAACTTCTCCATCAATATTCGTAACTGACCTCTGAATTTTCTTTTTTACTGGTCCTTAATTTTTCCCTTACGTGTCATTTTTTATTTAAAAAATTGTTATTTTCTTAAAAATATAGGAGGAACAAGCCAATATCTTTATTCAGGAGTCTTGAGTAATTGAAATTCCAAAAATAAAAGATGCTTTTCAGGCGGACATTGCCGTTTCGCGTACATCAACGGCTAAGGAGCGGGCCGAGCAAGCAATGTTCGTGGCCAAACAGGCTCGAGACGATGCCGAGATGGCCAGAATGGAAGCCGAACGTTTCGATCCCAACTTCAAGCCCCAGAGTGAGTTGAAAGTTTTGCAAACTTTTCATGTGCTTGTACCTCAGCCATCTCTGTTTGTTTGGGAATAATATGAGTGAATGTGAGACTGTGGCAGCTTTCCATGAGTTTAAATAGACCGGTGAATAGTTAAATGGGACTGCACAGGTGCTGAAAATGCATGAGAACATATGGAAGTGTGGTAGTGAAAATGCTAGAAGAACAGTCAAGAGGCAAAATGAAAACATCCAGAGGGTCATGAGGCAGAACATAAATAGAGAGTACTGCGTAGCAAACTTTCCTTTTTTCTGTACAGGGCGGAAGTGGTGTAGTGGCAAGTGGCACGCTTACCACGCGAGCGGTCCGGGGATCAAATCCTGGGTCGTGAGTCGCCCGGGCCAACCAAGCCTTCCATCCCTCCGGGGTCGGTTAATTGGTACCAGACTTGTCTGGGAGGATAAAAACACTGACTTGTACATCGGCTGGCCCCCGCAAGTCATTGTATAGGCCACATCGCATTCAAACGCCACTACGAATGTACAAATGGAAGTAGAATGCGTGCCGCATCCCAAAAAGGGATTGATCA